TTTATTTTAGCGGCAATAGGGAGCCGTGGGAATTTATGTGGGGCTGGCGGAGGGGGGAGGGTAGTGAGATTTGGCAACATCACTTCTGCACTCAAGGAAAATCAGCAGTATGAGCATCATTGTAGAGGATGGTTTGAAGTGGGGAGAGACTTGAGTCAGGGACAGCAATTATGAGGCCCCTGTTTCATTAATCTAGGCAAACAATGATGAAGTCCTGAACTAAAGTGGTCAATGTGAAAATGCACAAGGTATCAGACTGAGGAAATATTGTAAATGTAGCTATAGCAAGTTTTGGCAACTAATTGGATGTGTGGGATAGAGGAGAGTGAGGAGAAGGGTAGTGCAGTGCTAATGTTATGAATCTGAGAGACAGGAAGAATGAAATACTTGTTTACAAATGTCCTTTAGAAAATGTGCCTGGAACTCTTCTTCTTCCCTCCCCCCATCCCAGACACTAGGCTTTTCATTGTAGTCTTGGATCCATGGTCCCTTCAAATTCTAGGTCTAAGGTCCTGTGATTCTGGGTTCACTTTCACTTCCTTAGCTGCCACATCAAAAGTTAACAGACCTTTTTCAGAGAAATTTTGTCTGGCTCCCTAACTGCCAGCTTTTGTTAAGTGTTTTTTTTAACTTATATATAATATTTAATATTTATCCAAATTGCATTTCATTATGTGAGATCCAGCTCTGTGTTCCAGACTGTCAATATCTTTCTGAATCCTAACTGTGTTAGCTAGTGTCTTAATTATTTGTTATAGCTTTGTGTCATCTTTAGATTTGGTAAAGCATGCCATCATTTCTTTATTCAAGTCATTAAGAAAAGTTTAATTTAAGAAAACGTTTAATAAATTACATAGGTCTAGGCACAGATTTGGCAGGTAGGTCGCATGTTGTATGGAGTGCTGAGCCTGGCTTCAGGAAGACTCATTTTTGTGGGTTCAAATCCAGCCTCAGACACTTCCTAGCCTTTTTTCCCTGGGCAAGTCACTTAACCCTGTTTGCCTCAGTTTTCTTGTTTGTAAAGTGAGCCGGAGAAGGAAATGGGAAACCACTCTAGTATCTCTGCCAAGAAGACCCCAAATGGGGTCATGAAGAATCAGATACAAATGAAACAAGTGAAAAAAGGCATAGATTTGTAAGGGACTCTATTGAAGACCTTCCAAGTTGACATTGAATCATTAACTATTTTTTGTATCTAACCATTCAACTGCATTTGATTCTACCTAACTGTACTGTTACCTAGCTCACCATCTCTCTTTCTTTCTACAAGTATAGTATAAGTAACTTTACGAAAGGTAAAGTAATGTATAAATGCTAGGTATTATTATTATTATTATTACTATTACTGTTATTTCTTTCCTGAATTCGAACCCTACATTAAGAACTGCCTATTGGACATGTCTACCTGAATGTCCACTAGCTTTTGCAAAGAGATATTTCTTTCAATGATATAGCAAGAACCAACATACAATTATTTTCCCCAGCACTTTGAGGGAATGATTATATTCTCCTGAGTAAGCTCTGCTCATTTCTTATATAGTATTGCTCCACTAAGTGTACAGGCAGTGGTGGCATCTCTTATCAGATCAGTCAGGTTTCATTAGGCTCCCTTGTCCTCATGGCATAGAGACTGCCCTGGCTGTACTTTAGAGTATTGATCTGCTCATAAGATCAGAGGTTCCAGGCTCTTTCACCTAAAAGGGAAAACAAGAAGTACAGAGGGCAGGGACCAAAACCCTTTCACAGGACTACATGGTTTTAGAGGAGAAGAGGCACCGCAGCTCACTCCTTCATAATATTGCCTCCTCCCAGATGCTGTGGTCAGAGGAGTCATAAACGAGGCAAAAAGCTGGTATCTCAAACTTGTCCACAGTGGAACACAATCTCTCCCTGTCTTTCCTATTTCTGATAAGTTAGCCAGCCAGTCAGTAAATATTTATTAAATGCTTACTGACTGCCTAGCAATGTGCTAAGCACTTAGAGTTAAAAAGAAGGCAAAAACTTCCTAGCTGGTTTAACTGATGTGAATTTTTATGGTGAACTAAAAAAATAGGTGTTTTTTGATGGAAACCCTTAACTATATAGTAGTGCTAAGGGGCACTGCTGTATTATAGCCACCATTGTTAATTTTAAGAGCATCTGGATGAATAAAACAGAAGGCTATTGTGAGGGCATTATTTGAACATCTATTTTGAGGCGATGTTTAAAAAAAGAAATTAACATCAAATCAAATTGTAAATTAATTTAAATATGTTGCCTTAAGGACCTACTAAAGAATGTGCCACCAAATTTTAAGTGACAGTTGCAATATCCTTGTCTAAAAAAAAAATCAATGTCGACTTAAACATTTTCTTTAACAAAAGTTCTCTTGATTTAAAAAGAAACCAGATCTCTTTCCTTCTTTCTCTCTCTTTCTTTTTTTTAAAATATCCTCTGTCCAGTTTTTCATTGAGGAGAACTTTTCCCTACTCAGTGAGAAGTATTGACTTCTGTGGTACACATTCTAAAGCATTTCTGATTTGAATATTTTTGTGCATTTTTATCAATTATTAAACTTCTCTTCTAGCATGAAAAAAAAAAAGGCAAAAGATAGTCCTTACCCTTCAGAACCTGATAATCCATTGGAGGAAAGTAACACATTAAAAGAAACTGAAAAGGGAGCAGCGGGGAGAAAGGATATCACAAGGCTACTAAATTGCTGTTTCTGACTCGTGGGTCTGCCATATCTCTCCATTTTTTCTTAAACTCCTTTAGAAATATTTAAATATTTCACAATCTAGCCCATGTTATCTTTCTAGACTCATTTCAGGTTAGTGTTTGTCACGAACTCTATATTCCAACCAAAATGACATTTTAATTTTTTCCTTGTGTGGTATGTTTCATCTCCTTACTCCTTGTCTTTTCACTGGCCTGGAATGCTTTATTTCCTCTCCTGTTGTTATTCCTACCTCCATTCAGGTTCTGCCTAAATTTATATTTGATAGGAGACATGTCTTGATCCCCGTAATTATTAGTGTTCATTTGCAATTTAATATGTACTTGATTTTAATAACTTACCTAACTCTACATATTGTGTTATTCCCCAGCCCTGCACTAGAATATGAGCTGCTTGTTGACAAGAACTCTTTGCTTTTGTTTTTGTATCCCTTGGTACACAGTAGGCACTTAATAAGTTCTCTTTGCATTAATTTAAAGTTACAGTTTTCTTTATCATAAGATCCTAGACTTAGAAGAGGAAGGAACCTTGGATACTATGTATTTCCTTCCTCTCCTGCCAAATTACAGATGAAAACAAGTGAGGCTCAGAGAGAAGTTAGTGATTTACGTACGTGTCTACTGGTAGCAAATAATAAAGCTTGGTGTTCAACCCAGACCTTCCAGTACCCTTTTCATTACATCTTGCTGGGCTGTTTTTCTGGGTCAGTTCATTCTTTATGTGAAGTGTGTGTGTATGGGTGTATTACTTTTTTGTTTGGTTTTTTTCCATGTTTTACTACAAGAAGGCGTGAGTTGTTTTGCCAGAATGTTTTAATGAGCCCTCGTAGGACTCTCTGTTACAAGGCCCTTGTAAGTATGTTTTTGATAGAGTTGTTAGAAATTATAGGCAGTTTGAGGGTGAAGTATTAGGATTTGGGATTTATAATATAAATATATTTTTCTTTGCTTGAGAATATTGAGTAAAGAAATGGTCAAAAGGAAAGCTATTAATAATCAACCTGAGAATATTAAGCAAATATTATTGAACTCTTACTATTTGGTGACTGGTGAGGAGGTAGATGGCCATATAAAGATGAATATAACACGTCCAGGCCTTCAAAGCAATTATAATCAGTGTATTGAGATAATATATGTATGTGTATGCATAATCTTGTCTGCATGTATATGTATACACGCATATACATAATACATGTATATTCACAATACTGGTTATGTAAACGCATTATATGTAATATATAATACTATAATAATATATCATGTCATTATAGATTATGTATGTGTCGTCCCCCCCCACATACATACATACCTATATATGTTTTGGAATTGATTGTGTTACATGGGAGACACTGGTGAAGGACTACCAAGTATGGCATGCCTGCATCGAAGAAGGCGTTGTGCTCTGCTAGCGAAGCAGAATTACAGTAGTTCAAAAGAAATATGAGATGTGCAAATTTAAAGACATCTCTACTCCACATGTTTATGTGGACTATTTGTGCCTGACCAGTGGTAAAGCTTCTTGAGCTCAAATTAGCCAGATCAGCCACAGTTGGACACACTTACTTGACTCCAACATAATCATGTCATCTTGGTTCTCTTCAAGAATGAAGGACACCAACCAATATGTTAATATATAAGTATATGCACAAATAACTATAATACAAATTAATATTTGATAAATACATAGAAGAAGTTAAAGTAGAGGTGGGAAACCTGTGGCTTTGAGGCCACATGTGGCCTTCTAGGTCCTTAAGTGCAGCCTTTGACTCCCCCAACACACTGGAGCATGCAGGAGCCCTGAACAAGGGGAAAGACCACCCTGAGCTGAAATAATTTGTTGTTTGTACCCCAAGCTGGACTCTGTCTGTACCAGATTGAGAAACTATTTCTGCAACTGGGACCCTTGTAGATAAGCAGACCGTCATCAAAATGCATGATCTAAGAAAGAAGAGGAAAACAGTTCCTTGTGTAATCTGGAGTTGATTATATCTTAATAATGATTAATGGAGACTTAATTTGTTAATTAACTCATACCAAAGTAATTGCCATGCATTAATAAAGTGATTGATGTTTTATAATAAAATTATTACTTGATAAGATCTGCATAATCAGTTTTAAAATTTATTATGAAATGTAAAATAAGCCAGAATTATTATTTTTGTGGAATTGTGCTTTAACATTTAAAGTCTTATGGGACATTTAAAAAAAATGCTTTGCAGAGTAGTTATACTGATAGTAATTTGTCTTTAATAAACTATGTTTATGATACAATTTATTTCTTTCAGCATGGACCAGTATTTACAGTTTTTGCTCTGGGTAAGCGGCTTACATTTGTAACTGAGGAAGAGGGTTTTGATGTATTTTTCAAGTCAAAAGAAATAAATTTTGAACATGCAGTGGAAGACCATATCTATCGAACAGGTAAAGAGTATTTTTTTTTCCTGCATTTTGCTTGAAATAACTATTATATTGTTGGCTGAGTAATGAGTAATAGAGTGATTTAGAGCTACTTTTTTCCTGTGGCTTAATTGAAAGGGACAATAATGAGAATATGTAATAACCTGAATTTAAATAGCATTTAAGGTCTACAAAGTACTTCTCTCGTAATAATCCTGTGAGATAGATAGTACCTTATTTTATAGTTGAGGAAACTCAGATTCAAAGAAATTGCCTAGTACCAAATCTAGTAAGTGTCAGAATCAGAGCTGGGACTTAAACTCAGGTCAGTCAGTCAGTAAACATTGAGTAAGCACTGTCTATGTTGCAAGCGTTTATTAAGTGCCTATGTGCCAAGAACTATGTTAAGTACTGGTAATACAAAGAAAGATCTTTACAAAGACAGTCTTTGTTCTCAAGAAGCTCACAGTCTAATGGAGAGATGATGTGAAAAAACAACTATGTACAAGCAAGTTACATATAGGTGTTGAATTTCTATTTAAAATAGAAAATTTCTGAGATGTATTACTTTGGAGAGAAAATTATTTAATAGCAATGTCATCAAGTTTTCATTAAATCAGGTCAACTAATTCCTCAGTGATTAGTGACAATTTGACAGGTTTACAGAGCTTATCTTTATAACAGAAAAAACGGAACTATTTTCACAAGGCTGATTCATAGGATTTATAGAGAAATAGGTAGATTTGCAATATTCAAATTCTGGGTATATTGAAGTCATAATGGGAAGTTTCAAGAGTGCGATAACTGCTAGGTTCAGTATTTCATTGGTTTAGAACTCATGTCTATCATTTCTGTAAATCTTTTTGAGAAATGTCTTTCAGTGGTGTCTTAAGGATTTCTGCTGTGAGTCTATGTAGCTCCCTGAAAAAAAAGAAGGAGGAACTTATTAAAAGGAGTAAGGTGGTGCACTGAGAGGCAACATCCACCCTTTAGCTGTCTGAAAATGGCAGTTTGACCTTTAGTAAAGAGTCTTGTGGTATCTAAGCTTAATCCTATGATTATTTGATTTTATTTCTATAAAGATATATTTAGGCTGATTCTAACTTATCTACCATTAACTCTTGTTAAAATATTCATTCACTAAATCTATAGGTTATTTAGGCTTAAAGGAATATTTATACTGGCCTAGCTCTTCTTAAGAAAAGGACAGTTAATCCTAAAACAAATCAAAGTAATTACTATTAACTGATTTAGAGACCTCGTTTTTCATAGGATACATTTTTAGATAATAGAGAGAATGTACTGGCATAAGGGGGATCAGGAAAGGCTTCCTTTAGAAGGGGGCATTTTAGCTGGGATTTGAAGGAAACCAGGCAAGCCAGGTCATGGAGATAAGGAAGGAGAGAATGCCAGGCATGGGAAGAGGCACCCAGTGAAAATGCTCAGTCAGGAGATGGAGTATCTTGTTTCAGGAACAACAAGGAAGCCGCTGTCACTAGGTCACAGAATATGTTGGGAGTAAGGAGGTTGGAAAGGTAGCAGGGGACCAGGTTTTGCAGGGTTTTGTGTACCAAACAGAGAATTTTATATTTGATCTTGGAGCTTATATGAAGGGTCTGGTATTCATTGAGTAGGAAGGTTTTCTGATATTGCCCTTGTTGGTAACACCACGTTCCCTTTCAAATGATTCCAGAATTATTTTGAATATAATATTAGTTGATGTAAGGAGGCTATACTGCCAACTAGGCCTAATGTAAGGGGCGTATCTGTTCTACCCTAATTATGCCAATTGTAGGGTGGCATACCCTCTGAGAGACTACTGAGATACCATAGAAAGAGGAGCTCATACCAGCTTGGTTATTAACAGGCTTTATAATATTATATATTTATATACTATATTTATATATATAATTATATATAATATATAATATATATTATATTAGAAACAGAACAAAGAATGCTTAGTGCCAAGGATGGCCCATGGTCATGTGCAAATTTTTCCATGGAATAGTTGGAACTTTTTTTGCTGTTTACATTTACTCAAGGTAGTTCAATTTTCTGTGGGGTCATAGGTCACTTTCCCATTCCATCTGACCCCCGTATATTGGTTTTGTATGTAGTATTTTAGCTTTGCCAGCATTGGACACTGTGTATCTTTAAGCCAGTTGATACAGTGATTGTAGAGCTTTTATTAAATCTGAAAACCAAGGCATAGAAATTGAAAGAGACTTAGAAAATGTATTGTTTGTTTCTCTTAAATCACCATATTTGTTTTGTTTTACAGATGTATACTGTGGAGTTTTTCCTTATAGACCAGCACCAGGAATTATATTTTTAAAAACATTACTCCTATCTCCTTTACATTTTTGTCATTTATCTTTTGAAAAAAAAATGATCAATACAGGCATATCTCAGAGATATTGTGGGTTTGGTTTTAGACCGCCAGAATAAAGCAAATATTATAAAGCAAGTCACATGAATTATTTGGTTTCATGGTACATGTAAAAGTTATGTTTATACTATACTGTAGTCTGTTAAGTGTGTAATAGTATTATGTCTAAAAAACCCTATATACATAACTTTATTGCTAAAAAATGCTAACCATTATCTGAGCCTTCAACGAACCATAATCTTTTTGCTGGTGGGGGGCCGTGCCTTGATGTTGATGGCTGGTGACTGATCAGGGTGGTGGCTGCTGAAGGCTGGGGTGGCTGTGGCAGTTTCTTAAACTAAGACAGCAACGAAGTTGGCTGCGTCAATTAACTCTTCCTTTCATTTAAACACTTAGAGGCCAGTGTAGGGTTATTAATTGGCCTAATTTCAGTATTGTTGGGTCTCAGGGAATAGGAGGCTTGAGGAGAGGGAGAGAGATGGGAGAATGCCTAATAGGTGGAAGAGCCAGAACACACATTTATCAATTAAGTTTGTCACCTTATGTGGATGCAGTTTGCAGCACCCCAAAACAATTACAATTGTAACCTCAATAATCACTGATCACAGATCACCGTGACAGATAGAGTAATGAAAAAAAGTTTGAAATATTGAGAGAATTACCAAAATATGACATAGAGACATTATGTAAGCACTTTCTGTTGGAAAAAATGGTGCTGGTAGACTTGCTTGACGCAGGGTTGCCAGAAATGATCAATTTACAAAAAATACAATATTGATGAAACACAGTAAAAAGTGAAGCTTTTTTTAAAAAACAAAACAAAACGAAACAAGGTATGGCTCTACCTTTTATTTTTTCATCACTCATTTACTCCTTTGTGACATGAAAAAACAATTAGGCAAAACCAACTAATACAGTGATTGTTTCAGTATATGCAACCTTCTTCCTCAGCAGTACCATGTCTCTCTGCCAAGGGGAAGAAAGCACGTTTCATGCTCTCTTCTTCAGGGCTAATAATTAGTCTGAGTTTTACTGCCTTTTAGTGTTATCGTACTATTATATTCATTATCTATATTTTTCTGGTTCTGATTACTTCGTTCTGTATTAATTCCTCTTGTTAAACTTTTCTTGCAGTGCAATAATATTTAATTATATTCACATACTACAGTTTATTCAGCCATTCTCCAAATAAAGGACACTTCCATTTTTCTTTTTTTTTAAATCTATCAGTATATTGGTATATGTAAAGACTTTCTATCTTTTGACCTCTTTGAGATATCTACGCAGTAGTCATCTTGATGTTTTTTTATATCATCCAAAAAAGATAGTTCCAATTTCTGGCCCTCTTCTTTCCTTTCCTCCCCCTAAGAAGGACCAGATGAGAAAATGAGCCCTACCTTTGAAATTAGAGAGCGTGGGTTCATAAACTAGCTTTACTACTTACTATCACATATGACCTTAAATTACTTTTTTTAGGTCTCATTTTTCTCGTCTGTAAACTGAAGGGGTTGGCAAAATCAAAGAATAAGGGATAACTTCTAATGGTCTTTCCACCTCTAAGCTACTCATTGAAAAAAATCAATGACCTTTAGGACAAACTTTAGAATTTAAGTAACTATCCTTATTATTCATTAATAAGTAACTTAAAGCATCAATTATAAAAATTCTTCTCACTCAGTTCAAAGAAGAAAAACCTTATCATATTTCCTTTGCTGATACTCCTTTCAGATCAGAATTATGAAATACTTAAAATTTTATTCTTGTGACTTTACCTCTGCCATCCAGATCATTGCCAATTATATACTCTAATCACCTAAAAGTGTATACTCAAGTAATGTGAACTATATTTTAAAAAATATTTATTTTTATAAGCATTTATCTTCTCTCTCTCCCCTTCAACAGAATAATAATAATAAAGATGATGATGATAATGATGATGAAAAATGAAAAACAAACCCTCATGACAAAGATGTGTTGTCCAGCAAAACAAATTATCACTTTGGCCACGTCCAAAATAGATGTCTCATTTTGCATTTTAGGTCCATTACCTCTCTGGCAGGAGGTAGATAATATGGTTAATACTGTAGACCAGCGCTATACAACCTGCGGCACACCGAAGGATTTGAAGCGACCCGCAAAAAATGTAGAGATAATTTTTCGTGGGCTGCCTGAAATCCTTTGGCAACAAGGGCCGTAAGTGGCCTGTGAGCCACGAATTGTGCAGGCCTACTCTAGACTCATAATTTATCACTTCATTAATTAGTTTCAAAGTTATATTTTTCTATAATGTTATTGACATTGTATAAATTGTTCTGGATCTGCTCACTTCATTTTCTATCAGTTCATAGATCTTCCCAGTTTTCTCTAAAACTGTCCATTTCTTCATTTATTATGGCACAGTAATATTCCATCACATTCATATACCACAATTTATTTAGCCATTCTCCAATAGGTGTGGCACCCCCTTAACGTTTGTAGTTTAGTGCTACTAAGAACTGTTATGAGTATTTTTGTATGTATAGGTCCTTTCCCTCTCTCTTGATCTCTTTGGGTGCATAGGATAGTGGTATCATTAACTCAAAGGGTATGCAGGCTTTAGTTTAATTTTTTTTAGCATAGTTCCATATTACTTTCTAGAACAAAAGGACGAATTCACAGTTTCACCAACAGCACATAAAATGTGCTTGTTTCAACCCCTCCAATATTTGTTATTTTCATCTTTTGTCATCTATGTTTCTCAGATATAGATGCAGTAAAATCTCAGATTTCCTTTAATTTCTCTAATTGTTAGTGATTTGGAGTAGTTTTTTTTCACATGGTTGTTGATAACTTGGGTTTCTTTCTTTGGAAGCTACCTGTTCATATCTTTTGGGGAATACTTTTTAGTGTTATAAATTTGAATATTTAAGTTACTTATGTATTTTGGATAAGATAATTTTATCAGATGCCTACTATATTTAATATTGTCCTAAACAAAGCATGGTTAGGAAGGTAAATCTGATGTAAAAAAGACTATATAATAAATTTCAAACATTTCTTCATTGTTTTGGGGTATCTAAAATACTGCTTTCTTCCTTGCCACGGAAAATCAAATTCTAGCTATAAATCATATATATTTTTATGTTTAAAACAGACATTTGTAATTTAAAATAATTTTCTGTTTATAGTATCAGTTCCAAAGAGCATCTTTTTAACATCCCATGGTCTATTATATGGCGTGATGAAAAACAAAATGAAGATTTCCAATCTATGTCAGTTTAGTGAAAAGCTGGTAGAAGGATTACATGAACAACTGGAAAGTTTGGGCACTGATGGAAGCAAAGATCTCTACAACTTAGTAAGGTAAATAAAGTGTTTAATTTCCAAATTTTCTAGCTAAAAAATAGGCATGTGAGTTTGACATTAAACAAAAACCTTCCTGATTGTAAGAGTTTACATACAGTTATCCCTTCCACATTGCGACTTTCTTTATTGTGGTTTTGATATATTGTGGGTTGGCATAAGAAATTAAATGGGGATTTTGGGGGAATTTAGATGACACAGAAAAAGTTTAGAAACTCAGAAATGCATAAAATATATGTATAGTATTGTATAATATCAACCCAAATTTTATAATAAGATGCTATAAACACCCCATAGTAGAAAAAGAAAAAAAATCAGACTACTTCTCTGTTATGAAGGGAAGGTCAAAAAACTTTACACAGATTTTCCAGATTGTGGGGGCATTGTGCCCCTAACTCCCACAGTGTGGAAGGGATAAAACTATTCTTTTTACACTTCAACAATGTTCTCACCTTATAATATAGTTTAAGGTCTGATACTGCTGAATCTACTGCTTTTATATTTTTTTCCCCTGGTTCCTTTGAAGTTCCTGACCTTTCATTCTTCAAATGAACTGTTATTACTATTTTTCTAATTCAGTAAAGAAGTTTTTAGTATTTCAGTTGGGATGACTGAACAAACAGATTAGTTAGGTAAAACTATCATTTAAAAAATTATATTGATTTTACCTACCCATGAACAATAAGCATTACTTCAGTTATTTCAATCTGAGTTTATCCGTATAAAAAGTGTTTTATGTTTATGTTCATATAGTTCCTATATCTGTTTTGGAAGGTATACGCTTAGGTATTTTATACTATCTAGGGATTTTAAATGGTCTTGTGTTGTTTTTTTTTTTTGTTTTGTTCTTTTGTTTTTGGTGAGGCAGTCAGGGTTAAGTGACTTGCCCAGGGTTACCCAGCTAGTAAGTGTCAAGTGCCTGAGGCCAAATTTGAACTCGGGTCCCCCTGACTCCAAGGCTGGAGCTTTATGCACTGTACCATCTAGCTGCCCCTGGGTTATAGTCTTAATCACCCAGAGGGGAAACGGAAGTAGAAGAGGTTAGGAGTAATAACTCCCCAAATTGTAATTGGAGAAGGGAGATGTGTTTATATCAACTATCTGGCAGCACAAAGACCTGTTAGAAACTCAGCTCCACCTCTAGCACATATAATGTCCTGATGGCTGGAGCTGTGAATTGGTCCAGTCATTCTGTAGGACAATATGACCCCAAAACTTACTAGATGGTATTATGAATGTAATGGAATATTTGTCGTTGTTTGGTCATTTCGATCATGTCCGATTCTTTGTGACCCCACTTTGGGGTGTTCTTGGCAAAGATACTGGAGTGGTTTGCCATTTCCTTCTTCCACTTACCCTACAGATGATGAACTGAGGGCAGATGGAGTTAAATGTCTTGCCTAGGGTCACACAGTAAGCATCTGAGGCTGGATTTGAACTCATGCAGATGAGTTTTCCTGATGCCAAGCCCAGTGCTCCATCCATTGCACCACCTAGCTGTCCAATGGAATGTTATTTTGCCATAGCTCTTCTTGTTGTTTTTGTCCTTTGTTATTGAAAAGGACCATGACATCAAGAAGGTGATGCCATGACTTGCAAGTGAATTGGATTTAAGCGAGGGAGGGTTGTGCAAAGATACCAGCCTCACTTTCTCCTCCAGATACATCTGGGTCCAGTGGCCAGATAGAGATCAGGACAACTGGAGATGCGCCTTAACTAATGTCAGAAGGGATGGTTTTAGATAAACCTGAGGAAACTTAAATGAAGTGATGCAGAATGAAATGAGCAGAACCAGTAGAACAATTTATAGAATAACAACATTGTAAAGGCAAACAGCTTTGAAAGACTTAAGAATCTGATCAATATAATAACCAACCAAAATTACAAGGAATTGATCATGATTCATGTTACTCAACTCTTGACAGAAAGAAGATGGACTCAGGGTACAGAATGAGACATAACTTTTTAAACTCAATTTTGTTTTATTTTCATCTCCAAATTCTCTCCTTCCTACCTTTTCTTTCCTGACATTGAGAAAGTAAGAAAAACAAAATCTATTGTAAACATGTATAGTCAAGCAAAACAGATTGCCACAGTGGCTGAAAACATAATTTTTAGACTTGGCCAATTGTAGAATTTGTTTGCTTTACTATATATATTTATCGCAAGGTTTTTGTTTTTCTTTTTTTCAAAGAATTAATTTTTGTACATTGAGAAATTTAGATTTGAATAAAAAAGGCTCCCTACCCAAGATGGCTTGCAACTTTTCCTTTTATATACTAAAAGACTTCTTTCTCTGACAAATATTAGAAATGTTTCCGTTTTTCAAGTTCCCAAGGATCCCAGGGCAATAATCAGTTGAATTGTATGGTGAGAGTAGGATGGGGGCTTAGCCTTTATGTTTATGCATAGTATATGGAAATCTATCATTTTAAAGAACAGAATGCTACCAAAAAAAAAAACCCAAAACAAAAACTGCTACACTTGTACTGATCTGAGCATTATCACAATTTTGGAGACAGGAAGAGATATTTTCAACCCTTGATTAGGCAAGATAGTGAAATTACATAAGTATGAAGAAAACAAAAATTATAATTTCTATTCTCCATATGAATGGTGATATAGCTAGAGATGGGGATGGTGGGTGGGTGAAGGGGGGAGATAACCTTTCACAAAGATTATAATAAGGAGAAAAAAGGCCTCTATTTAACAATATAGATGTTATATGTTTGTGTGTGTATGTATGTGTTTGTGTGTTCTAGTAAGGGATATCTCTATTTACAACTATGGAAGAAGTTTGGTACTTAAAATGGTAGAAATCTTAAATAGGAAACATTGTATTTAATGTTTACATTATAACATATAATATAGTATATATGTATAGTATATAATATATACTATAGTATATAATGTATACATTATTAACAGGGATATAGAACCACTAAGCCTAGGGGTTATGAAAGGCGTTATAGCAAGTTAAAGTTCCAAACCAGTGATGGAAAGTGACTTGCCCAGTGTCATATAGGTAGTCCTTTTCAGAATCAGGATTTGAATACATATCGTATGACTTTAAAACCAATGCTTTCCCCACTAAATCATATTAAAATATATTTCACTTTACTGTTCTTCAGCTAGAGGTTTCCTGTCATTGAAAGGAGTTGTACCTCTGTCTTTCTTTGTACTGGCATTGAGACTTTTCTCATCATTCACTAAACTCTTAGTATGTATTAGGTGATGTAATCTTATGCCAAGAACTCCAGTCCCCAATGTATTCCTTTGGTTTACTCCCTTCTACCTCTCTCACCCTCCCTTCCTCCTCCCCTCCAAAAAATTATGGGCATCACCATAAAGCTGGGAATCCAACGGATAGCACAGGAATCAAGAAAACACTTCTCATATTCATAGCTAGCTTACTCTGTCCTTTGACTCTCAAGTAGCTGTTAACTATGCAATGCATCAGTTTTAAGGCCTTGAAGCAATGGAACTACCCTAAATTGAATTTATTTGCCTTGATCTTTCCTTTAAAGGAAAGCTGTGTCATTGAATCGTGAACATCTGCAAAATATGGATCAGGCTTATTTATAGGATTCAGCGATTCACTGAGTTATCAGGTAGGGAAGTCAAAAGTTTGTCTTCAGATGTGGTCATTAAGGGATTAGTTGAGTCATTTTAAGTTTATTGAATAATACCATTTTCTAAACCTATATGTGTATATATGTATGTGTATGTATATATGTATGGTTATATATATAATGTATGTATGTGTGTGTGTGTGTCTATATATATATATGTATATATATATATATATATAAAAATAATTCATGACTCTTATTTTGATAGGTGGGAAAAGCCAAATAACCATCTTAGCAATTAAACTTGTTCTCTAGGTAGACCTGACCACATTTTGAAAGTCACATTATTAAGGGGTATAAATGGGAGCTCTCTGAATTGTGAAATTCTGATTGAAAGTGCAAACCAGTTCAAATTAACTAAAATAATATATAAAGACACTGGGGAAAAAAAGAAATAAAAGTAGGTGGTTCATTAAGGAAAATTGTTGTTAGTTAATATACTTCACAAATTTTTTTATTGAAAATAATGAAGTTATCACAAAAGCTAAAGGTGAAGAGTTTCAAGGTTTGGTTTTGTTTGTTTGTTTGTTTGTTTTTACCATATCTGGAGTTGGGATAAAAGGTTAGAACTTAATTGCTTCTTCCCCATTCCCCATCCTCACAGATCAATCAGTCACCAACTCCACCAAGTCAATATTTTGGTTATGGTTTTTTATCCTTGAAAATGTCACTTGCATCTACTCACTCCTTTTTCTTTCTGCTGCCATCACCCTAGTTCAAGCCCCCGTTAACTCAAGAGTATAGGTAGAAGGGATTATCCTTACCAAGGAAAATGTTAGACATACTTTCTCCTTTGGCACAAATGAGAGAGAGAGAAAGAGAACAGATGGTTGATGGTAATGATATTGGATTTTAAAGACTGGGGAGAAGAATATATAGGGATGGCCTAAGTAAGAGTCTAAATCATCTGCTCTAGGATAGCATTGGGGAGCTTGATTAGAAAGAAGAGTTTGAGATGGGAAGCCAAAAATAAGGATTGTGAAGCAGAAATCAGGATAGGGAAGGCAGCATAGTATAATGGTATGAGTTCTGGGTTTAGCGTCAAATTCCTCCCTCTGCCACTTAGTTTGTGTGTTACCATAGGGAATTTGCACAATCTGTCTGGCCCTGGTTTTCTCTATTAAATGAAGGAGTTGGATAAGGTGATTGCTACGATCTCTTCTAGTTTTCCATTTGTGATCCTCAGGGATATATTGTTCAGTTATTTCAGCTGTGTCTGACTCTTCATAACCTCATTTCAGGTTTTCTTGGCAGAGATACTAGAGTGGTTTGCCATTTTGTTCTCCAGCTCATTTTACAGGTGAGGAAACTGAGGCAAAAAAGGGTGAAGTGACTTACCCAGGGACACACAGCTAGTTAGTGTCTGAGGACAGATTTGAACTCGGGAGAATGAGTCTTCCTGACTCTAAGCCTGGCACTCTATCCATTGTGGCATCTAGTTGCCCTAGAAACGTTGTAGATGTAATTCTAGTGTGACACCCATCTTGGAAGCTGGTGAGTGAAGGAGAGATGGAGCAATTTCCCTACATTGATGGGGCACACCTTTTTCCTACTCTTTACAAAGGCAGAAGTCATAGCCTCTCTTAGAGATTGAGTAGACCCTACCTAAGATCACAGATTTTGTTCTTCAGTCATTTGCCAGTTATGTCTGACTCTCCATAAGCCCATTTTGGGGTTTTCTTGGCAAAGATACTGGAGTGATTTGCCATTTCAAAATCTTCTCCAGCTCATTTTACAGATGAGGCACTGGGCAAGTCACTTGCCCAGGGTCACACAGCTACTAAATGTCTGAGAGAGGATTTGAACTCAGGAAAATTAAGTCTTCCTCACTCCAGGCCTGGCACTCTATCCACTGTGCCACCTAGCCACCATTAAAGCCCCTTTTACTTGAGCAACGAAGTGTTAAAGCAACTTGAGGGTGCTTTTCTCTCTCAGTGCAATTTGTTCTAGATTTATCATTATTTAATATAAAGATGAAATTATTATAGCATGCATTCCTTTATACAGAGGTGTGAATATTTTTTTCCTTTGGGCCTAGAATAGCATTTTGTTCTAATAAGGAGCATTTTGCTCCTTCAGAGTAGGGGCCATTCTTTTGTGCCTTCCGCAGTAGCATAATGCCTAGCATATAGGAAGTGCTAAGAGAATAATAAATGCTTATTCAGAAGAAATACTTGTTCATTGACTGCTTTGTTATTTGGCCTTAGAGGTCCCTTCCAATTCTACAACCATGAAACTATGATCCTATGATTGATTTTGTTGTTGTTGTTGTTGTTTTTTCCCCTAGGCATGCCCTGTATCCTGTCACGGTGAATACTATTTTTGGCAAAGGCTTATATCCAACAACCCAGGAGAATATTCAAGAATTCCTCAAACATTTTCAGATTTATGATGATGGTTTTCAAAATGGCGGTCAGATACCAGAATGTTTTTTAAGGTAGAGAGTCATATTATTGAATTCATTGATGGACACAATTCTATTCATTTGGCCATAATAAGGAAGGGATGAATTCAGTGAAGAAAAACTTAGAGGCCATATACTATTTCAGGCAAGATTTTAAGTACGTTGAGAACGAAGATATTTCTCTGTGATTTTTAACTTTAATGTGCAAAGAGGTGGTAAGGGAAGAAAGGAAATGGTATGTTAATATTTTGTTCCCTTTTTCTCCTTCATTCACAGTTCATTATCAGCTTTAGGGATAAAAATTCCTTTATGCCTTAGTTACAGAGACCAACTGTTGAAACAATGAGAACCAGACATTGTTGTCCTTACTATTTTTTGAGAAATAAAGTAAGCTGGCTTAGGTCAGTGGTTCATTTTTCACAAAATAAAATGGATAAAAGAGAAACTAATTTAATATTAATGTTTTGACAGTTTCTGAATTCAGGACTTTCCTCTACCTCTCCTGTTCTCTCCCCCTAAAGAAAGTAAATATATGTTTTCTTCTCCGTTAATTTATACAGTATTCTCTTCCATTCACCTCTACTTAGCAGTAATTGTCTTCTGTGTAATGACACTTATTCTCATATATTTTGCCAAATTATTTTGTGATCTTTCATAAAATCACAGAATTTGAAAGTTGGAAAGCACCTTATTCATCATTAATTTCAACTTCTAATAGAAGTATAGCCAATATACTATATTAGACAAGTGGTTATCCACTCATCAGTGGAAGCTTGAAAACCTCTAAGGAGAAGGAACTTACCACCTCTTGAGGTAGCCCACCTCTTTGAGGTAGAACTCAAAATTATTAGGAAGTCTTTCTTGACATCAAGTCTAAATTGCCTTCTTGGCAAATTCCATCCATTGCTTCTGGTGCCTCCCATATTCTCCTATCACCAGAGCTCACCTGGAGTATTGTATTTGTTCTGGTTACATAATTCAGGGAGACTGACAGGCTGGAGAATGTCCAGAATGGGGCAACCAGAGTGGTAAAGAGTCTTGACTCCCAGTCATTTGAAGATTGGTTGAAGGAACTGGACATGTTTAGCCTGGAGAAGAGAAGACTCAGTGGGGACATAATACCTCTCCAATGATTTGAAGGGATGTCATGTTAAGGAGGAATTAGTCTAGTTTGGTTTGACTTCAGAAGAACAGAACCAGAAGTAGTGGGTCAGGTTTGCAAAGAGGGTAATTTAGGCTTGGTCTAGATCATTTTGGGATCTTTCAGAGGATCACAGAAATTGAAAGTTGGAACAGACTTCATTGGCCATTAATTTCAACCCACGTATCAAAGCTGTCCATAACATGCCACACCCAAAAAGAAGTTATCTGGTTTCTTATTGGTGATTTTCACCTCTCTTTTTCTGGAAACTTTGCCTTTCTTCATGCAGTTCGTTTTCATCAGCTTTTTTTTCTTTCTCTTTCCACACCACTGACTTATATTGAGCTTGCAGGCCACTGAAATAATCATATATTTTTGAGAGCATTATCTATCCATCCATATCTCACCATCTTATACTCATGATGTTGACTTTTGTGCCCAATCCAAAACAGATGGTCAGACTTACAGCCGGGGGGCCAGATAGATTCCTTAAAACGCCTGAATACAGCCTGAACCACCTTACAATGTAATTGAAAAATGTTTAACAAAGTAAATAAAACTACAGTAAAATATAGATGGGCAGCTAGGTGGTATGGTGGGCTAAAGTCAGAAAGACTTAGCTTCTGAGTTCAAATCTAGCTTCAGAGACTTACTAACTGTGTGACCTTGGGCAAATCACTTAACCCTCTTGCCTCAGTTCTTCATCTGTAAAATGAACTGGAAAAGGAAATGGCAAACCATTCTAGTATCTTTCCCAAGAAGACTCCAGATGAGGTCAGAAAGGGTCAGACACGACTGAAACAACCACAAAATGTAGATAGTGCTAATTGGCAGTTTTTTAAAGTCATGTGGCTTCCAGATATCTCTTTTTGCTTGAGTTTAATACAACTGTTTTAGAATATCAAAATCTTTTTAGATCCTGACTCTGTCATGTGGTATATTATCTTATCCTCCCAGATTTATGTCATCTGCAAATTTGATGAATGTGCTTTATACTACATGATTTTATCCAAGTATTTGATAAAAGTGTCAAACAGTACAAGGCCCAAGCACAGATCCCTGGGGTACTCTATTGGAAAACTCTTTCTGTAGTGATATGGCACCGTTAACAACACTGTCCTTTGAGTTTGCACATCCCACCAGGTCTGAATCCATCCAGTTGTATTATCACCTAATCCGTATCTATCCACACAAATAATAAAAGCTATTTTATCAAAAGCTTCAGTAAAATTTATGTAAACTATACAACATTCCTCTCTAGTGGTTTAGTGATTCTTTTGGGGGGAAAAAAAACAAGTGGAGTTAATCTGGCATGATCTGTTCTTGATGAAGTCATTTTGACTCTTTTGTAATCCCTAGGTCCCTTTCTGGATGTCTGCCAGCTATCTCTTTAATGGTCTGTTCTAGCATTTCCCCAGGAATGGAAGTCAAGTTCGTTGACCTACAGATTAAAGACTCAATTATCTTCTCTTTCAAAAAAACATAAGGCAAACCTTTCCCCTTCTCTAATCTCATGGAGCTACTCATGTTTCCCATGATCTTTCAGACATCGCTGCTTGGGGCCCAGCAATCACATTTGCCAGTTCTCTTAAGATCTGAAAGTGTTGTTCATCTGGGCCAGGGAATTTGAATCATCCATGGAAGCAGGTTTTCCTTCCTTATCTGTCATGTCAACTCCCTGTATATCCTTTTTCATTCTGCCATTATCAGTACATGGTTCATTTCTCATTTGCGGAGAAGCGAAGAAAGTAAAAATGGATGTGCTCCTCCTTTTCCCCTCTGTTTTAAGTTATAATTCTATCTACCTAGAGCAAAGGGCTAACCTTTTTTTTGCATCTTCCTTTTTCCTACATAGGTAAAACACCTCTCTCCTTTCACTTGGTCTTAGGTTTCTTCTCTAGCCTCAGTTCATTCTGAATTTTAGTGTTTCTGACATTTTTACAAGATTCCTATTTATCTTGTTACCTATGAGATTCATCTCCATCCTTTTGTTTCCATCTACTGTCCTTTCTTTTAAAAATCTACATTGATTGGTGAGTTCCCTGTGTATCTACTTGAGACTCTTCAGGCAGATCTTATTTTTCCTCCTCATTAAAATTATTTGCTCTTTGTTCTTTCACAATTTAATTCTTTTTTTTTTTTTTGGCAATTGGGGTTAAGTGACTTGCCCAGGGTCACATAGCTAGTAAGTGTCAAGTGTTTGGTCTGAGGCTGGATTTGAACTCAGGTCCTCCTGATTGCTTTATCCACTGAGCCACCTAGCTGCCCCCCCAATTTAATTCTTAAGAATCTGTTATATGTTCTGGGCTGCTTTTCCTTGAAACATTTTAGTCCATGGGATCCTAGCTATCTTTTCTATGAATCCTTTGGAATCTGCTTTCCCCAAGTCTAGGATGTATTCATATTGTTGATTGAATCATTTTCCTTTCTTATCTGCAAATTCCAGGACAGAGTGGTCCCTTTCTTGTAGGGTTCCCATCATTTCCACCCTCATCACCAGTTCTTCCCTGGTATTGAGAATCGGTTCCAAAATGAAATTTCCCTTTGTTGATTCCTCCACCTTTTGAAGGATGAAATTTTTGATAAGGCAAGTCAAGAAGTTATTAACTGTTTTAACTTCAAGAAGTTATTAACTGCTGAAAACTCCAGCAGATGTCTAGATAATTGAAGTTTACCATGACTGTCACATCATGCCTCTGTCCCAGGCTTGTGATTTGTTTTCCAAAATCCTTATCTGTGTTTTCTTTCTGTCCTGATGGTGTACCAGGTGTACTCCATTGACAAAAGTAATGTATTTCTTCCTCCTTCATCCACTCAAATATTTTTATTATACTTTTCCATTCTGGTTCCTGGATTTTCTCATATATGTATACCTTATTAACATACCTGCCTTTTTACCTATCCTGTTTCTTTTGAAAAAGGTCTGCCCATCCATTGTCTAGTCATGGGTTTGTTTCATCTCATCAAGTTTCAGTGGTACTTAGTAGATATAATATAGATTATTTCCCAAAAGTCAATGAATGAACTTGGACAGGACACTTTGTAACAACCTGTTTCCTTCATCAAAGTTAATATTACAAGGATCTAAGTGTTAATTTGCAAAACATGCTAAGACAACATCCTCCCTCCCCCCTTTCCCTTTTTATTTATGAATATTTGTTCAAGTGTATGGAATTCTAGCTTGATCTGAAAAAGGGAGCTCATGGAAGTAACTTTCACAGCAATACAGCACCCTAGTTTATGTTTTTTGATCGTAGTGCTAGCTACGTCAAAAATGCCTTTCAAATGAATTTCTAACTGTTCTTATTACCCATAGAAACTGGTCAAAATCCAAAATGTGGCTTCTAAATCTATTAGAAAAAAGCATTCCTGATCTGGAGAAGAATGAAACTTTAGATGATCTGGTAAGTGTTTTCAGATCTTTGCTAAATATTAAATTGAATTGAAATATGGAATTATTTTGGATTTTTCAATGCAGTATAACAAACAAACACTTCTATGTGCAAAGCATTGTACTAAGAACAATAAATTGTGAAACATAATCACTATGGGAGGGCAGGGAAGAAATATTTACCAATAAGTATGATATAAGACAGAATGTGATAATTCTAAAGGAGATGCCAAAAGAAATTGCTTTGAGAAATTTGTGGAGTAAGAGATCTCTTCAATGTAATGAACTCAGCTAAGATTTCAAGGGAGGGGTTGTCTCACTCTTAAGGATTTCAAGAAATGTTGGGTAAGAATACTGGGCAGGAAAAGAAAGTTCATCCCAGAGAGAAGGAATAATGTGTGAGACAAGGAGATGGGAGAGGGTAAGATGGATGGAGAAGACAATGAGGAGCCCATTTTGGCCTGATCATAGAAGGGAGCAGGGTGAGATAAGGCTAGAACTCTATTATAAAATCACAGTCTCAGAGATAAAAGAGGAACCTTGGACCTATACCTGAAAAGCATCCAGCTATGGCATATCCAAAAACTGATCATCCAGACTTTGCCTGAAGACCAGTAGTAATTGGGAAGCTACCACCTCCCAGGCCAGCCCACTGCCCTTTTCCAGCTGTTAGGAACCTTCTACCTAATTCAAGTCCAGATTTCCTCTTTATGATGTCTACCCTTTTGCCCTACTTCTGCCTTCTGGAGACAAGAAGACCAGGACACACTGGAGCCAGATTATGGAGAGCCTTAAATACACAGCTAATGTCAGGGTAATTTTTTATAGGGAGTCCAAGACCTTTGGAGGTTTTTTGAGCAGGGCAGTGATATGATCAGAACAGCGAATTTGACTGAATTATAAAGGAAAAAGAATAGGTAGATGAAGAAAAGAGAAAAAAAAGTTCTATAAAAGCCAATGTATCACGTCTAGGCTATCATGGTTTTTTCTTCAAACAGAGGATGGCCTCATGGTGTAATGCAAATAACAGTGGAGTGGGAGTGAAGCTGCCTTGGTTCTAGGTTCTAACCAGTGGTATTGCTATGGGAAGTCTTTCCAATTCTCTGGGCTTCATTTTCCTCACATATTTTTATGTGCCGATTAAGTCCTGCAGCTTTCTAAGTTCCACTTTGTAACTATATCCAATCCGGATACCGAAGTATTGAGCATGTGCACAGAGCATGTTGAGATTGTATGTAGGGTTATGGATAGAATCAGGGGAGTAAAAATGGTAAGGAATGGCCTTAATGATTAATTTTATACTTATGTATTATTTTCCCACAGCTCCTCAAAACATACCTGAATGACAAATGCCAATAAACAGATTATTCTTTTCTTATTCAGATTGGAAGAAATCTGCAGAAGTATCATTTTTTTTTAAATGGAAATAAGTCTCCAAATCAAGAAAAGCTACCAGAGTGAAATATAAACATTCTAATTTGACTTTGGCTAATTTTCCTACTTAATTCTCTTAAATAGAAGGCAGTTTGGGTCATCATAACACCTCACATTTAGATAAAATGTTAAGGTTTTCAGAATGTGACATATTATTTCATTCATTCTGAGGCAGGTACTGTTATTATCACAAGATAGCTAGGTGGCACAGTGGATAAAGTGCCAGGCCTAAAGTCAGGAAGACTCTTGTCCTGAGTTCAAATCTATCCTGTGTGACCCTGGACAAGGCACTTAACCCTGTTTGCCTCAGTTTCCTCATCTGTAAGAGGAGCAGGAGAAGGAAATGGCAAACCACTTCAGTATCTTTGCCAAAAAAAACCCAAGTGAGATCTCAAAGAGTTGGACATGACTAAAAAATGGCTGAACAACAATATTCTTGTTATTTCTATTGTTCAGATGGGGTAACTGAGGCTCAGAGAGGTTAAATGACTTACTGAAAAGTACACTTTGAGTACATATGACACTAAATTCAAACCCAAGTCTTTTCTGATTCCCTAGTCCTGTGATCTGTCCACCATTCCACTGTTTCTCATACAGTGTTCTCATTACATTATTATATAAGAAACCTGACCAATCATCACTCTTTATTCCTATGTGAAAACATTCCCTTTGTAACCCATTTGTCTTGAAAGAATGCCGTAAGAACACAGTAAATTGGAAGTATTCAGGCTCCTTTCCCTCTGCTGCCCTTTGTCCCCAAGTTGACTACTTCCTTTCTAGTCATGTAGCATTACACATTCTAAAACTTTTATTTTTTTCTTCATAGTATTACATTTTCTATATACAATTAGTTTAGAGTAGGGATTCTTTTTCAAATAGCTTGTAAGTGATATATCATCAATCAGATTCAAGAAATGATCAGTTGGTTATTAAGTGCCTATTACGTGCCAGGCTCTGTGCTGGATGCTGGTGATAGACAAAATTGAAATAACCCCTGCCCTCAAGAAATTTTTATTCTAATAGAAAGAACATATGCATTTGTATAGGTATATTGAAAATCCATAGAAAGCAGATACAAAATAATCTTGGAGAAAAAGACGCTGTTATTTGAGGAGAACAAGAAAGGCCTCATTTAGAAAGAGACTAGGGCTGGATGTATAGATAATCTCCATGGAGATGTTAATTGAATTCATGGGAGGAGATTAAATTACCAAGTGAAATAGTGTAGAGAGAAGAGACAAAGGGCTCAGGATAGAATCTTAGGGGCCATGGTAACAGGGGACATGAGATGAGTGATGATCCAGCAAAGAGGAGGATAACCAGAAGAGAGCCGTGTCATGTCACAAAAACCTAGAGAGTATCCAGTATGAGAGTATGACTAATAATGTCAAATGCTACAGAGAGGAGAAGCAGGATAAGGATTGAGAAACAATCATTAGATTTAATAATTAAGGAGTTCCTTGATAGCTTTGAAGAAGCCAGTTTCGGTTGAGTGATTAGGTCAGAAGTCATATTGCTGCAAGTTTACAAGAGAGTATGAAAAAAGGAAGTGAAAGCAAAACAGACAGTTTTTTTTCCCCCCAAGGAGTTTGAGAAAGGGATGTAGGATGATAGCTAGGAGGGAACCATAGAATCTAGTGATTTCTTTTTAAATGATGAGATGTCTTGGGTACATTGATAGGCAACAGGGAAAGAGCAAATAGATATAAATAAAATGATTATGAGGCAGAGGAACAAGACAGAGATCCAAAGACAAAAAGAATGAAGATGATGATGATTGTGGGCTGAATTTGCTGGAGAACATGGTTGGGAATGTGATGGAGGTCATGTTGGAAGGATTGTTCTTGATGAGGAACAAGGCCATCTTTTCATCAGAAACTGGAGTAAAAGGGAGAGAATGGGGTTGATGTCAAGGAGTATAGAGATGAGAAAAAGGAGTTAAGTATTTCTAACAAAGTTGTAAGGAATTTGGAATTTTAAATTTGTAGGCTTTATGTACAAGCTCATTTTCTTTTCTGAGGTTTTACTAAAATGTGATAATAGATTTTAGACTGTTAAAACAGACCATAGTTTAAACTCTTATGAGAAACTTACTATTTTTCATCTGGTATTTCTGTTCTTTCTCAATGGGATTTACCAATGGCCTTATTTTGTAGTACCCACTTTTAATGAAGGGATCTATTGTCTTATAAAATGTAGAAGTTAATACTAGCTGATAAATCATCACTGCACATATATAAGGAGCCAGATCTGTTCTGTACTGATTATACCAATTGTAGGGTGGCATATACCCTCTGAGAGAATACTGAGATACCAAAGAAAGAGGGCCCCATACCAGTTTGGTTATTAAATAGGTTTTATTGGGGTTAATAGGGTTAATTGAGGGAGCTTACTCATAAGAAACCAGTTGCCCTGGGTGGCAGCAGGACCAAGTAAAATGGATCCCCGCATCAACCCCAGATCAGTACAGTATTATATAGAAACAGAAGCAGGAAGGTATAGTGCCAGGGATGGCCCAGGGTTACGTAAGTTCTCCCTTGTGATAGTTGGAGCTTCATTTGCTGTTTACATTTACTCAAGGTAGTTTACATTCTCTGTGGAGTGATAGGTCACATTCCCAGGCTCTGGCTGCCATTATGCAACATAGGCTTCATCAAACTAGCTAAGGAGAAATCTGAGAGTGATTTTTAAAGCGGGTTATAGTTATTCTTATTTTTTTGTCTATACATTTGTCATGTATAGATGACAGTGTGGATATGTTAACTGAATAACATTAAAATGCAAATAATCAGTATGAAAACTTTTAAACTTCTGCCTCGACCACTAGGTCAGGGGGTTAGGGCGAGCACTGCCACCTCCAAGAGAGTTGGTTGGGTCTGCATGGGACTGGCTTCAGCAATGGGAGAAGGAAAGAGGAAAGTGGGAAGCATGTTCTAGCACCTACTCAGAAGTCAGGAAGACATTAAACGAAAAAGTAGAGAGCTTTACATCCAGTCAATTTAAATCCTGGCGGAGGGTGTTGATTTAATTATTCCTTGCAGCACTTAAGAGTCTAAAATAGATATGTTCAGATTATGGAATGATCTAGAAAAAAAATGGAAGACATACTGATCATTGAGCTCAACATGATGAGCTCTGAAGAAGAGCCAGTCCCTGGTGTTAGTCATCAGATTTAATCTATTAGTGAATTTTCTTACCACTGCTGTTGCAACATCCTGATGAATCCTACCACCTTGAACTGTGGATATAGTTTCTGTTGACATTGTCTGGCCTTAAGATGGGTATCCTCAAAGAAAACAGAATGCTCTGAGTGCTAGGAGAAGTAGGAAGGTTTGCCTAAGTATTCTGCTCAGAGATGTCACTGAAAAGTTATTTCCTGATGCCATCAAACGGAGATTAGGAGACATTCAGCAAGAACAGCCTTTCAGGGTCATTTTTCCAAGAAAAGAAAGTAATTGTTACACCAGCGTTTAATACTACTGTGGCCTTCCTCTGTTGTCCCTGCATGGGGTTTGGGCAGTTTGTAATACCAGGTCACCAGGTAGTTTTTAGGCATGTCTACATTATTAGTCCATCAGC